TTACATATTTTTATTACACATTATTTATCTGAACTGGGCATTGTGGATATTATCTGGCAACCTTGCTCACTCCATACCAGCCACTGGGGCATCACCACCGTTCCTCAGATACACAGCTTAGGTTCACCTCAGGGCCTTTGCACTTGTTGTCCCTGCTGCCCGTATCACTCTTAGGTCTTTGCTTTGGCTAACTATCTTTTACTCAAATGTCATCTCCTCAGAGATCTTCTAAGGTTGTCATGGTCAGGGGTCATGTAGGTGGTTCTGGTACACACTGACCCTATGTACAACTGAAGAAAACACTGCCCGGTCCTAGGCCATCCTCACAATCTTCCCTATATTTGAGCCCACTGTTGCGATCACTGGGTCAATCAATCCACCTTGTTGAGGATTGTCGTCTTTTACAATGACCCTCTACTTTACTGAGCATGATGTCCTTTTCCAGGAGCTGGTCCCTTCTGATGACATGTCCAAATTACATGAGACCAAGTCTCACCATCCTCGCCTCTAAGGAGCATTTCGACTGTAGACTGTGTTTACTACCTCACACTTATATTCCAGTATAGTTTCTCCAGAGCACTAGTGCTACCTGGAGTGATCATATGATAGTAACGTTATATGGCTTACGTGTTGGTTTCTTGCTTTCTTTCTGTCTCCCCAGTAGAAACTTCCTCTTGCCCATCACGTGCCTCCAACACTTGGGTCATAGTAGATGTGTGCATCTTTCATGCTTCTCCAGGAGAACAATGAACAGAAATCAATTCTGATCTTTTTTTTTTTAATTCTGATCATTTTGAGCAACAAATGTTGTTAGCTGCCCTTAGGTTGGTCCCCACTCATGGTGACCCCATGCACAATGCTATGAAATGCTACCCAGTCGTCTATTTGTGATCTGTAAGATTTTCATTGGCTGATTTTCGGAAGTAAACCTCCAGGTCTTTTTTCCTAGCCCACATTAGTCAGAAAGCTCCTCTGAAACCTATTCAGCCTCATGTGATTGTTGTGTGCCGTTGAGTCAATTCTGACTCATAGCGACCCTGTATAGGTTTCTGAGAGTGGCTGGTAGTTTTGAACCATTGACCTTTCAGTTAATTACCCTATTTTCAGTGCATGTCCTACTGTGCTCATAGAGACCAGGGCTCTTAGAGACATGCAAACCTCCACCTAGAGATGGGTGGTGGCTGCAGAGGAGGTGAATTGGCTGGGAATTGAACCAGGTCTCCTATATGTAAGGTGAGAATTCTACCCTGGAACCACCAACGCTCCCTTTAGCAACAAAAAAGTGCTGTCAAGTTGGCTCCAACTCATAGCAATCCTGTATAGAGTTTCCAAGGAGCAGCTTGTGGGTTTCAACTGCTGACCTTGTGGTCCAGTGCTCTATTGAGCAGCGCCACAAATATTTGTTAAATAAATGGACCCAGAGACCCATAAACTTCCTCCCTGCTTATCTGTCCACTGGCACACAGACAGATGAGGCAGGTGGTCTCAGATGCCCAGGCCTTGCTGCCCTTTGTGGGGGCAATTATCCCAGCCTGCTGGCCAAGCATCTATGTATCTTTCCAACCCTGCAGCCTGTATGTCCCTGTGCTTGTCACAGGTGTCACTGTCAACTCTGCATGCCTGTCTCCCGTGCTCCCTGGGATGGGAACTCCCCAAGGGCCAGACCTTTATCTGATTCAGCCTAATCACCATCATTCCTGCTATCTGTTCTGCTCTTACAGTGACAGGTGCTATGCTAAGCATTTTAGGAGTATTTATCATTCCTCCCTGCCATCAATGTTTACTGAGTGCATGCTACATACCAGGTACTGCGACTAGAGGGCTGAACGGAACCTGCAGAAATCCCCCAGGCTGGGAGCTATAGTCTGAAGGAGACAAGAGATAAATAATTAAACATGGAGCTATGGGGTCATCACATGGTCTAAATGCTTTGAAGAAAAATAAAACAGGAAAGGGGGATGGGAGGTGTAGGGAAATGGGGTAAGGGATGGAGGTGCTGTTTAAAGTACGGTGATCAGAAAAGACCATGTGGGAAAGGTGCCACTGAGTAAAAACCTGAAGGAAGGAGGGAGGAGATGATGTGATAACTGGGGAGCAGAGTCCTGGGGCAGAGGGAGCAGCCACGGGAATGAAGCAAGGTAGCCTGGGATATCTGAGGAGGCCCTCAAAGAGACAGGCTGACATAACAGCTGCATCAATGGGCTCAAACATAACAATAATTCTGAGGCTGGCGCAGGACCAGCCATGTTTCATTTGGTTGTACATTGCTAGGAGGTGAAACTGATTCGAGGCACCTAACAACATGTACCTGCAACAGAGTGAGCAAGACGGTGAGTGGTGAATGGTGGGAGCTGGGGGCAGGGAAGTGAAAAGAGCAGATCATGCAAGACCTCATGGACACTGGGGAGGACTCTAGCTTCTCTCCTGAGATGGGGCAGCAAGAAGGCTCTGAGCAGGGTGGGGCCCCTGGCTTGTAGGGGAACCGATTGTGGTCAGGACCAGGGATTTGGTGGTCCAGACAGGAGATGAGCTGGGAGGCAAAAGTAGACATCTTCTAAACAGATGATAAAGACATAGCCAGCAGATTTTACCAGTTCGTTCAAGAAAATAGGAGTCAAAGACAACATTAAGATTTTCAACCTCATTTAATCTCCAAAGCAACCCCACAGAGCATCATCATTCCATGTTATAGATAAAGAAACAGAGGTTCATAGAGGACCAGAGACAATCACATGGGAAGCGGCAGAGCTGGGATTGGAACCATTTCTGAAATTTGTGTAGCATCATCTGGCTCCTGAGTCCCTGGGTGGTGCAAATGGTTAACGGATTCTCTGCTAACCAAAAGCTCAGAGGTTAGCGTCTACCCAGAGATCTACTTCTGGAAAATCAGTCCCAGAGAAGCCCATGAACAGACTTATACGCTGCCTGTGGTATTGACTCAGTAGCCACTGTTTGGTTTGCTGTCTGTTGTCTGGCTGACTCAAGTGCCAGACCTTTGCCCTCTGTGGATCCCACCTTCTGGGCAGAATGTGCCCACGTGGAGCCCCCCGCTTGGGCCCTTGGCGCAGTGTGTAATGACTCTCTCACGCTGTGGCATTCCTTCACTGCTTGTCACCTAGCTTGGGTAACTGTGTTTTTCTGCCTGCCTGTGGGTTCCCAGTGGGGATGACAGGGGATGACCATGTTGCCTGGCCCGAGCCTGGCATGTGACAGCCTTAATTAAGGCAACAAATATTTATGAAGCGTCTACCTTGTGCTGGGTAACGCTGGGACTCAGCACTGGGCCTTGCTATCCTGAGTGGACAATCGGTGTAGTGGGGACACAGACCCACCCTCAGACAATGACAGCTCAGAATGAACCAGGCTGGGGTGTGGGGATGATGCCTAGGGCCCCCAACCCAGTCTGAGAAAAGGGTGTGGGAGGGCTTTGTGGAGAAGGTGAGAGACCCATGAACCAGCCTTCCAGACTCCCACAGTGGAGGGGACAGACAAGGAACAAATCAATATGAAAGCAAACCATGATGCTATGATACCATGCACAGATTCCAGTGAAGCTTTCAGATGAATTAAAACAGACTAGAAAGACCTGAAAATCTGCTTCTAAAACCAACCAATGCAAACCAGATGGATCACACCGATCATGGGGATGGTGCAGGACGGGAGCATGGGGTCCCTGACTCGAGGGAGTTGCTTGCTGACTGAAGGGCAGCTAAAAGTTACAACAACACGAGCTATATATAACACGAGCTATTAAGACTAGGAAGGGATGGAGGTTATTTTAGCTGGGTTGATCAAGGAAGGCCTCTGCAGACAGGGACATTGGTGCTGAGACTGTGTCAACCCAGGGATAGGGCAGGACAAATGGCCTGTACCTACCTAAGGTAAGAGAGATTTGGTGTGTGCCAGAAACTACAAGGAGGCCCCTGGGGCTGAGGTAAGAACTGAGGTTACTAAAAGAATCCAGCATGGAGCCTGCAGTGAAAGACCCCCCTCCTCCCCCGGGCCAACCCCCAGCTTTGGGACTCCTGGACTCAAGACCCTGACCTGTCTCTGCTTTCAGGACTTCACCTCATGGGGGTAAGAGACAAAGTCCTGACTGTGGTCCACAGGCCCTGAATGACCAATTCCATTACCTTCCTGACCTCATCTCCATTCTCCCGGTCACTCACCTGGCTCCAGCCACACACGCCTCCTCACTGACTCCCCATGTGCCTGCCTTGGGGACTTAGCATTGGCCACACCCTCTTTCCTGAGATGTCTGTCCACACGTTTTCCTCTCCCGCTCCTTCACTTCAATATCACCCTCTTCCTAAGATCTCCCTGGATCGATGCTCAGTAAGTAATGACCGAATGAATGGAAAGTTGAAAAGAAGAAGGAAAAGAGAAGGGAAGCAGGAAAGGGAAGAGCAGCTATGTAACCCCATGAAGTTTGTCAGTTACCCCAGATGGGAGGCAGGAGTGGACAAGACAGTGGCAGGGAAATTGAGGTACAAAGAAAGGGACATTAGTTAGCAGTTCTTGGGCCATGGAAGCAGGAGCTGGCTAGAGGGCCAGCCTGGGAGGAGAAAGACACTGGCGCCACCTGCTGGTGTGTAGTGTCATGACAGTTCACATTGCTAAGTCTCTTGCCCTGGAGGGCAATAGAAGAAAAAGCCCAGGTGCATTGTCAGCAGAAATGCAAACTCCACAAAGCCACAGTCACAAGACTCTTTATTTCCAACATTCCATGGGTGCTCAACCCAGTCAACCACGCAGAGGAACTGGGCTGTAGCCACCTGAGAGCCTCCCTGCTTCATTCTCCGCACACAAACCTGCCCACCCTTCACAGGACTGACTCCCACCTCTCCGGGAGGAGAGAGCTCCCTCAGAGCTGTGTCCACCCCACACGGGGTCTCAGGAGAGCAGGGGAATCGGGGCCCGCCCTGACTCCCCACCAGGGCCTGGGCAGTGTCTGGTCACATTGGCCAAGCTGGTCAGACCCAGGTTCCTGATGAGCTGCC